AATTAGGAAGACCGTTGCATTTTCTTCTTCAGCCTCAACTTGTATTGGAATTGTTCTATTATTAAGCATGTGAGATTGTGAGGTGGTTAGTATCCAAGAACTAGATAGAAGAGGGAGGAGTGGCAGAAAAAAAGAAAGAAAAGGAGAATCTATTTATTTTCGGATGTTTATTGATCACGATTTTGATCTTACTATATAATATAACTTATAAGGTGAACTACTGATTTAGTCCATGAATTATCACTTGAGTGAGAACTAGATTCCTAAAATATTGTTTCAGTAAGACAAACCCATATATTCAATAAAAACTGCTAATATCATCTCTAATAGTGTACTCAAAACTATTCTATCTAATTTTTTGTCAATTTAAGTCACGTGACTTGCACGTGACACATTTTAAAGGGTAATGCTGCCATTTTCTAGCCTATAGTCCTTAACGTTGCATATTGTTTGCAAATATGAAATTCCAATTTACCCTCTAAAGTTAACTTAGTACACTATTTTTTCAAAAAAAAAAAAAAAGGAAAAGAAAAAAAGAGTCTTTAAACTCATGGAAAACTATCTATCTACCATCAAAAGTGTATCATGTGCAAGTCAAATGGCTTGATGAAAAATTGAATAGAATAGATTAAAATTTAATATTTAGGGATGTATTTGGTAGATCATAATTAGTAAGGAATGACTTTCTCAAAAATAAAAAATAAAAAAAAATAAAATTAGTGACCCAATTTTCACTCGGATAATAATTCAAAAACTAAATCAGCACATTATTGTAATTTATATTAGCTTATTAAATTTGCTCGTATATGTAACATAGTTGCATCCTCATAAAGGGCACATATTTCATCCTTTGAAATGTATTTTTACTATATAAATTTTATAAGCGAAACAATTCAAATTTTTAATTTTAATTTGAAGATCATTCCTATAAAGAAAAACATTCCAAGGGTTTAAGTTCCTCACAAAAATCAAGTTCTATACTGATATCGTAAATTGCTTGGGCCTATGAATAACTTTTCTTAGCAAGGCCTAAAAATAACTTAATCTAGCTATTATGCATTTTTCCAAATAAATTAACTATGCGTGTGCACTAATGATGATACATGCATATACTTCCTTGGTGTAGTGTTATTATTTTTGTAGAAAAATAATATCGAATCCTCTATGTTGTGTCATAGATGGGCCTGTTAATCAAATATCTTGGTTGTTTCCGGCTACCAATTCTAGTCGCTAGAATGATATATACCACCATATAATCTCTTATACAACAAAGTCTGGAATCCATAAAAAAATTAAAGAAATCTCGAAGAGCTATGTTTAATGAATTCCTGAATGAATACAATTGATACATTTAGACCCCAAGCATACATTTTCCGCTCAGTTGGAGTCCCTGCCAATGTCAACTTTCTGAGAGGGTGTAAATCATTTTCCTTTCTGTTGTGCCACTGCCTCGAAGGGTACTTGCGGGGGTACCCAAAGGGCAGATGATTGGCTCTCCACATAGTCCTTAAGATGCCCCTTCCGGATAAGCGCCTCAACATCATCCTAAGATCCAGACAATCGTTAGTGAGGTTACCATGGTCTTGATGATATTGACAGAATTTGGTTTCGTCTCTCCTTCCTCTGAATGCCTGTTCCTGCTGTTTAGCTAGGGAGTTGTCGCTCTACAAGAGGGAACATTTCCCCTGGAGATATACTCATAGGGGTGTATAGCTTGTACTAATCATACCGTTCAAATCGACTCTTATTTAGGTGGGAAGGTTCTCAAACTTTCTCTTCTTTGCTGGGCAATTGTACATGATCTCTTGCCTTGACTTGGTGGGCATGCTCTTGCTTTCGGTCTTAATTTCCTGTTGGCTTAATTGTCTGTATCTTCTTCTTGTTTAACTGCTCGACACAGGAATAATTGGTTGCCTTTCTGAATAGATTCTTGAATGTCTCTGGGGGATTCCTAATCAGGTGGAAGTAGAAGTCATCACCAGCAAATCCTCTCATTAGAGCATTATGAGCAATGACCTCATCACATCCCTTGCATCTAGCTACTCATTGTTAAAACGAGATATGTAATTCCTCAAGGACTCGCCTGAGCCCTGCTTTATAGAGGATAGATCAGTCGTAGTGTAATGTCTTTTGGAAATAATCATATAGTTATCAAGAAAAACTTGCCTGAGTTTGGAGAATGATATGATTGATCCCGGAGTGATCTTCTTGAACTAGTCTTGGGCCACTCATCACAAGGTGGTTGGGAAAATATGAAACTTGGTGGTCTCATTGTTCCCCTTGCCTTCCATAACATAAATGAAACCCTTTAGGTGGTTGTACAGGTCGATAAGCCTTTCATAGCTTTATATCTTGAAGGATCGGTTATCAGCGCTTATCGGTTTGTCAAGCAAGGCCTTGGAGAATGGGAGAGGAACTTCATCCTCTGAGAGCAAGTCCACTAGAGTGGACTTTACCCAGGACCCAGCACAAAAATAAGGCCAACACCCTGTCAACCAAGTCCACCCCCTCAACTTGACTGGTACCCAACCGAGCTGGGCTCTGGACCAGCCCAAAAGAGACTGAGCAAGAAGCCAGACTGTTGGCCTGGCGCGTGCACGACAAGCGCTCCTGGGCGCGAGTAGCCGACAAGGCTGTCAGCCCACTTGTGCTCCGGATCCCATCAGCGATGTGGCATGCTTATATCCATTGGATTTCCAACGGCTAGTTTTTCTAGACCGCTAGATTTCCAACGGTAAAAAAAATTTAAATTTTACTTTTAAAATAGATCGTCCGATCACAGATCAACGGTCCAAGTTAATTAACTAAATTAAAATTTATTAAAAAATACAAAAAAAATATTAAAAAATACAGAAAATTTTAAAAAAAATTATTTATTTTTTCTATAAATACCTAACTCTCATCTTCCACCTTACACCACATTTCAATATTTTCTACACTTTCTACCAAAGCTTTCATATAGTTTTTGTGTGAAAAAAAAATACCAAAAAGCTTGTGGTTGAAGAATAAAATGTATTTGATGAGTTTATGTAATTTCATTTTAGTGTGTTTTTTTTATAGTTTATTTGATGAGTATGTAATTTTATTTTAGTGTGTAATTTTTTTTTAAGTTTATTTGAAATTTTATCTGAAATTGGTTAAAAATCTTATCCGAAATAAACTTAAAAAAAAATAAACACACCAAATAAATGTGCTGGGTGCCAGCGCATTTTTTTAAGGGTGGAGATGCCTTGGCCTATTACTGTTTACTCCAGTCTATTACTGTTCACTTGAGTGGATAAATGCGTTGGGTGCTGGCGCAAAGTCCTTAGGGGTGGACTTGCTCTGAGTAGTCTGGATTTTTGGGTTTGGAGGCCTTCTCTATGCCCCAAATCAATCCTAGATGTTCTTCATCTCCAAGTTCATCACTTCTTTCAAAGTGGCCCGGTGGGTTGATGCGGTTGTGGGGGTACTCGTTTGAATTCTAGATTACTGGCTCGGCAGTCAGTGCCTTTTTTTTCTTTCTAGCATCTTCCTTTGTTCATACTCTTCCTCGATTTATGGCTTTGGGGTGTCCTTACCTCCACTTCCAATGTCTAAGGGAAGTTGAGGAGGATCTATTGGTCTCGAGTCACATGGGTGATCTGTTCCTTGTTAGAAGATGTTCTTTATCCTATCGTTGATTTGTGCTATCTGCTTTGAGAGGTAGGCATGTTTTCTTAGGACAACACGCACTAAGTGCCTTGCTCAGCCCTGGGGTTCGTGGGAATCCACACTCGAGGCTTAATTTGTCAACCTTTATGTCCTTTGGTAGGCTTCCATTCTCTCTGTTAGCCACCATGTGACCTGAAGTTGATGTCCGAGTAGGCTTAGCTCTGCGTCTCTCAGACTTCTTGCCATAAAGTTGTCATTATACCAACTTGTTGCCGATGGTCGATAATCACTTTATGCAGAAGCGCTCGGCTTCATTACTGGCAGAAAAATCAGACCACCAAGCGATCGTCTGTAGCGCTCAGGGTCATCATTGGCCTTGATCTTTCTTCCTTTGGGTCTGTGTTCCTATCATGTGTTCCTTTGGGCAAATGTTTTTTGGACCCGTGTTCCTTTGAGTCTATAAGAGTCGGAAAGGACCCCTCGTTAACAAAATGTAATAAATAGATCCCTTTTCAACTTGCCAACGTCAACTGAACATGAAAGTTTGGTTGATTGTTTGTCAAGTATGATTCATCATAATGCACATGCTTAGATTAGATGGTTCTATATTACATAATCCACATGCTATGGCCGCAATGAGAGAAGGGAGAGAGAGGTGGTAATAGCATGCATTAGTCTTTTGGAATTTACAAAGACTTCCTCAAAGCATCAATTAATCTTAGTGTTTGCCTTATACAAAAATTCCAAACTAAAACACACTCGTTCAAATTTTAAATTAATGTTCTAATTGCAAGTACTGATTAATTTAATCTCAATGTAAGGAATCTGTCAAACTAAAAAAGTTAAGAAGGTGTTGTCATGTGCTCATTGGTGATGAGGTAAGATAACCCTAATTAATCTATGAAAGTGGGAGCAACGGACAAAAGGAACAAAAGAAAGGAGAGACGTGGACAAATGAGGTTTGCAGAAGAATTCAATTTAGAACGTTGCTGCTTGAATCAATGGTGTTTAGTGGGGGCCCTTGACTGTACGCTCTCTAGTACAGACGACCCATTCCTAACCCTACCATTAACGTTCCCTCTTTTTACTGTTTTCTTTTTGTATTTGTAAGTACCAAGTCACGTCAGTATATGTGCCGATTTTATATTTCCGTAGGAGATTTGCTTGTAAATTGTTAGTGTGGTTTTGTCATTGTTATAGCTAGTAAGTTATCAACGGTAGGTTAAGGGTCAATGCAAAGGAGCGTGTACCCCATTTCATATCCAATCCCCTTCAAAACCCCCTCATCTCTCTCTCTGTCTCTACCAATCTTATTATATATAGTTGCATATTGGTTCCCACATCAATAACATATACTTGTGTGCTACATTTTATTTACTCCAGAATTATCAGCTGGGTAGGTCTCAATTTGTCAGCAATGGCCCGAGAACCAAACATTTCAGAAGCTGAAAGCACCAGCAACTCATCGTCATGTTCGTCTGGATTGTTGCAGACTCGCCCGAATTCAACCGCCAACACACTCAACACCAAAACCAAGAAGCCCAGCCGAGAGCAGCAGCAAGTAGTACTCAAAAGAAAGAGAGATGATGACAGCAACAACAACAGCAGCAAACACCCAGTTTACAGAGGAGTTCGTAAGCGCAACTGGGGAAAATGGGTGTCGGAAATTCGCGAGCCGCGCAAGAAATCAAGAATCTGGCTGGGCACATTCTCAACGCCTGAGATGGCGGCCCGTGCGCATGACGTGGCCGCCCTCAGCATTAAGGGCAACTCGGCCATTCTGAACTTTCCAGAACTGACCGAGTTGTTGCCACGGCCAGCGTCCCTTACACCTCAAGATATCCAGGCTGCCGCGACTAAAGCAGCAGCCATGGTTAATTTAAATTCTACAACATCATCATCGTTATCATCGTCGTCGTCCTCATCTTCCGTCTTGTTGTCCCAGTCCAAGGGTTCGGACTCTGAGGAGCTAGGGGAGATTGTGGAGTTACCCAATATCGAGGGCAGTTTCGACTCGCCCGAGTCGAGGAACGAGTTCATACTGGTGAATGACTCATTGGATGGGTGGGTGTATCCATCATTGGGGCTCGAGGGAGTTGAGTTAAACTTGTGGGGATTTTTCTCATCAGATAGTAGCAGCTGAGAGAACTTAATACTCCCAGAAACTCGGAGGGTCTAGTAATGTGGGTTGTTCGAATGACTCAATCGGTGTGCATAGCTTTTCTTAGTTCTTCATCTACAAGATTGCTGGTTTTATATGGTCTATATAATTCATTGTGCAAGTTGTTTGGCTACTTGTGCTAACTCGCTGGTCACAACTGTCATTGTAATATAATTCATACCCTATATATATTTTTATTTACTTACCATACGTCTTGGTTTTTCGATCTTCCAATTGCATTCCATGCTCCATATGATCTTCAAAAGAAGTTAACTTAGCTGCTGCACTTTACTTTGTATTTTAATTTGTACTAACTTGCCGATACTTGGAGAGTTTGGCATGGCACATATTTGGCATATTCTTTCACAGTGACTAGGGACCACGGATTACATATAATTGGTATTAGCTGCAAGCAATCATCACCATAATCATGATAATTATCATTAATCACGAATGTAATCATCTCTCTTCTCTTTAGTGGACATGTGTGCATGTGTTTGGGGTAGTGTTTCTGATTATTTACAAATATGTACAGACATAAAATTTAATTTTTATAGTTAAATTTATACGTTACTCAAAATATATGGCACTCAACATTCGCTCACCTCCATCATTTTTTCCTTTATCTTATTCAACTTTTGAAATTTGCATTACTAATTGTTGCTTTTTTTTTTTTTTTTTTTTTTCATTTGGCCTACAATTGTGGACTAATTAGATAATGACTCTCAGGTATTGGACAAATTGTAAAATTTTACCGTTGGAAGGTTTAGAATTATATTGTCATCACATAGGACTGCAAATGTACCGTTGGCAAATTGCAATGATTCGAAGTGACTTCTTCTGTATATCCAAGGACAAACATGAGACAAAACTTTTGAATATGGTGCAACATTTTTCTATGTGGGGACGGGAGATATATGGCAAATTTTTAATAGTGGATGACAAATGGAAACAATTTTTCAGGAGAACAAATGGATGCCCATCCAAAAGAACGGCCGGGGGCACAGCCCAATAGACAAAACTCTCTACAATGAACGGGGAGAAAAACTCTTTTATTTCTGAAAAGCGAAGTGAAGAAAAAGAAAAGGTCCGGGGGTTCTCCGGGAAAAAACCCTCGGATCAGTGACGAAGGCTCTGTCTAGTGTGGTTGTTGGCGGAGTGTTCTGAAGAGAGGGAGGGAGACGGGAGAGGTTGAGTTTTTTAAGCCCTCCCACCACGCATGTTAAGTTACATCGACTGTTCTCTGTACATAGACCATAAGTTTTCCCTTTTGGAGGATTAGAATAGTGCTAGTAAATTTGTAATATATTCAACTAATATGTAAATTAATGACTAAAAGAACGTAGGATGGATTGTTACATAAAATTAGTGAAAAAAAGTCAAATGATTTTAGAATTTAGAATGAGTTTTAAGGTGTCCTCAAGCTGACATAAACTTTGTTAGAGACTGAGCACGAATTACCCACCATGTTTTTCTTTTTTATTTAGAGGAGGAAGAATAATATTGATTAGCTAGAGAACCTCTTCGAAGACAATGTAGAAAATATATCTCAATGAATATTTAGTTAGTTGATTAGTATCTACGACTTCCACTTTGATTCATTCAACTTATTTTTTAACATCTATAAGAATAAGATCTTCAAACTTATTTAGCCCTATGTTCTTGTTTAATTCGTGCCTAACTTTCTTGTTTCTTGAAGAAATTAGGCGTCAGGCAATGTAGTTAAACCCTCACTATTGTTGCGAGTTATACATTAGTTAAAATGTAAATAGTAGTTTATTGTCCCACATTGGTGAAGTACATATGTAATACCAATTGTAACTCCTATATATACTCCACTTTGGAGATTAATGAATTAATAAGAAATTCCCAAATATTATCATATATTTTTGGTATTTACCATGTTTAGTTTAATATTGGTATTTACCATGTTTAGTTCAATATGGCATCAGAGCAGTTCGCTCTTGGTGACCTGTGTGCTTTAAATTTTGTGCCCACATTTTTCGTGATTTCCTCCGTGTGAGAAAAAAAAAAAAATGTCGTGCTACAGAGCCGTGAACAGTGGTCTTCTACAGTGCGCGAACAGTGATTGCTACAGTGCCGTGAATAGTATTTGCTACAGTGCCGTGAACAGTGATTGCTACAGTACTCTGGTAAATTGTTTTCATTCCGCTGCGTATCTTTTGTGCCTTTATTGTTCGTGATTTTGTTCAATGGCTCAATATAATCATAGTGTTGTTATGCATCTTGGTGAAACAAATAAATGGATAATTGATACTGGGGCCACTGATCATGTGACGAGTGACCCTAGAGTGTTTGATGAGTTATGTGATTATGTTCGTGATCCGTATATTACTAGTGCAAATGGAGCACTTTCCCCTGTGAATGGTGAAGGCACTATCTCTTTGACTCCAACCTTATCACTGGTCCGTGCTTTACTTGTTCCTGTTAAGTGCAATCTTTTGTCGGTAGGAAAACTTCTTGATACTTTATATTGTTCTGCTCACTTCTATCCTACGTATTGTTATTTTCAAGATATTCAAACTCAGAAGATAATTGGTTATGGTAAAAGGATAGGGGGTTTGTACATCTTGATTATGGAGGATACTGTTGTTTTCGGTTTAAATAATCATCAAGTTTTAAGTGCTAAAGTGGATAACAGACATCAAATTTGGTTGTGGCATCGACGATTGGGACATCCATCATTCAGTTATATGAAGCATCTATTTCCTTCTTTGTTTCGCACTTGTAGTGATTCAGAGTTTAAGTGTGAAACATGTTCATGGCTAAGAGTCATCGTGCTTCCTTTCCTGTAAGTGATTCTAAAGCTACTTTACCATTTGATTTGATACATTCTGATGTGTGGGGTCCTGCAAAAGTTACTTCTAATGGATTCCGTTGGTTTGTTACTTTTATTGATGATTGTACTCGGGTAACTTGGGTGTTCTTGATGAAAAATAAGAGTGATGTTCCGTTACTTCTTCAAGAATTTTGTACAATGGTATCTACTCAGTTTCAGACCAAAGTTAAGGTCTTCAGGTCTGATAACGGAGGAGAATATGTGAATCACACTTTGGCATGTTTTTTCCGTGATCATGGTATTATTCACCAGACGACTACTCCGTTTACACCCCAACAAAATGGTGTGTCCGAACGGAAGAATCGTCAAATAATGGAGGTTGCTTGCTCCTTGATGTTAGATAAATGTGTTCCTAATCATTTGTAGGGTCATGCTGTTTTGGCTGCTGTGTATTTGATCAATCGTGTTCCAAGTCGGGTTCTTGATTTTCAGACACCGTTTGATGTGCTACAAAAACATGTTTCTCTTGTTTCTGTCTTAAAGCTTCCTCCGAAAGTGTTTGGGTGTATTGCGTATGTGCATGTCTACTCTCATCAGCGGAGTAAACTTGATGCATGTGCTCTCCGGTGTGTCTTTATTGGGTATGCTAACAATCAAAAAGGCTATAAGTGTTATCATCCTCCGACTCAAAAAACTTATATTACCATGGATGTCACATTCCATGAGGAAGTTTCGTATTTTGTGAAGCCCTCTTCCGACTCTCCACTTCAGGGGGAGAGAGGGAGTGAAGTGCAGATTCGAAGAGATGATATGGATGATGTGTTACAGACAGAGTTGGGAACAGAACCTATTATTTTGCGTGCTACTAATCAGTCGACTACAGATGATGATCGGTTGCCTGCTGTTGATATATCTGATGAATTACCTTCTGATGATCGGTTGCCTGCTGCTGATATGTCTAACGAGTTGCCTGATGATGGTTCGTCCAGTGATGATTCTTCTAACTGTTTGGTACAAGATGGTGGCATACATGAGGTAAATTCTGACGATTCTTCTACTTATCAGTTGCCTCCACGAGCTAATCGTGGAAAACCTAAAGTACAATATGAGCCTAATATACATGCCAAAGCCAAATATCCTATCAACAATTATGTGTCCTCTCATCGTTTGTCCCAACCATATGCATCTTACATATGTCAGCTATCTAGTGTATCAATTCCTACAAAATTGCAAGATGCTTTGTCTGACCCTAAGTGGGTTAATGCTATAAAAGTTGAGATGGAAGCTTTGGAAAAGAATTCTACTTGGGATTTGGTTCCGTTACCAAACAGGAAGAAAGCCGTTGGATGTAGATGGGTGTTTACTATTAAGCACAAAACAGATGGTTCTATTGATCGGTATAAAGCCAGATTAGTTGCTAAGGGTTATACTCAAACCTATGGGGTGGACTATCAGGAGACCTTTGCTCCTGTTGCCAAACTTAATACTGTGCGTGTTCTTCTGTCCTTGGCAGCAAACCAGGATTGGCCTCTGTTGCAGTTTGATGTTAAGAATGCTTTCCTTCATGGTGATCTTAAGGAGGAAGTGTATATGGATCTCCCACCTGGTATTGGAACATCTCCTGGAAAAGGTATTGTATGCAGGTTACGAAAGGCCTTGTATGGTTTGAAACAATCTCCTAGAGCATGGTTTGGGAGGTTTACAAGTTCAATGAAGAAGTTTGGGTATATCCAGAGTCATTCAGATCATACTTTGTTTCTAAAGCGACAAAATGGTAAGCTAACTGCATTGATTATTTATGTTGATGACATGATAGTGACTGGTGATGATCAAAAGGAGATACAGCACCTTCAAAAGTACCTACCTACTGAGTTTGAGATGAAAGAATTGGGTGAATTGAAGTATTTTCTTGGAATCGAGGTTGCACGATCCAAGCATGGTATTTTTCTATCTCAAAGGAAGTATGTTCTTGATTTGTTAGATTGCAAACCTGTTGATACTCCGATTGAGCAGAATCATCGTCTGGGCTTATTTCCAGATCAAGTTCCAACTCATAAGGAACGGTATCAGAGGCTTGTGGGGAGATTAATTTATTTGTCTCACACTCGCCCTGACATTGCTTATGCAGTTAGTGTGGTAAGTCAGTTTATGCACTCACCTAGTGAAGCTCATATGGATGCAGTACCTCGTATTTTGAGGTACTTGAAGATGGCTCCTGGCAGAGGCCTGGTTTTCTCTAAGAATGATCATTTGAATGTTGAAGGGTATACAGATGCAAATTGGGCTGGTTCTATCACTGATCGGCGATCTACATCTGGATACTTTATGTTTGTGGGTGGTAATTTAGTTACTTGGAGAAGCAAGAAACAAAAAGTGGTGGCTAGGTCAAGTG